GTGACTCCATGTACAGACATGCCTTGGAGATGTGGGTTCAGTTCCAGAATATACCACAATAAAGCAAACATCCCAGTAAAATGAGTCACATGAATTTTGGGGCTTCTCAGTGCATATAAAAGTTACACTTACACTATATTGTAGACTGTTAAGTGTGCAATAGCATTATGTGTTAAAAAATCTATATACCCCAATTTATAATACTTTATTGCTAAAAAGAAAAATGCTAGCTATCATCCGTTTCTAAATTGGGGGCTGCAGTTTTCCTGAGTCCGTCCCTTTTTTAGGGATCCAGGAAGAGTGTTGATTTTTCAGTCTGTTTAGCATTTTACGCATTGTTAGGACAGTGGCAAATTCCAAGCTCCTTACATGCAGAACCAGAAACCCCAAATCTCCCCTTTTAAAAATATTTTTTAGTTTTTAATTGTAAAATGCACATAACATAAAATTTATCATCTTACCCATTTTTTAATATACAGTTCAGTAGTGTTAAGTATATTCACACCGTTTTAAAATTAAACCAATCTCCGGAACTTTTCATCTTACAAAAGTGAAAGTCTGAAGAACAGCATAAACAAACAGGCAAAACAGAAACAAGACTCATCGACGGAACAGTCTGATTGTTGCCGGTGGGGAGGGGGTTGAGGATTGAGTGGAAGAGGTGAAGGGATTGAGAAGTACAGATTGATAGTTACAGAATAGTCATGGGGATGTACAGCATAGGAAACAATCAATGTTATAAATTTGTATGGTGCCAGGAAATAATGGTACTGGAAATATTGGGGAGAGCAGTTTAAGTATATGATTATCTGACTACTATGCTGTACACCTGAAACTAATGCAAAATAATACTGAATGTCAAGTGCAATTGAAAAATTTTTTCAAAACTGAAAATCTAGACCTATTAAACAACTTACCCTTTTGCTCTCCCCCTAACCCCTGGTAACAATCATTCTACTTTCTGTTTCTATTTGATTACCCCAAATACCTGCTATGACTGCTTGTTGCACTCAGTGCAGTGTCCCCAAGATTTATTCATTTTGTAGCATGTGACAGGTTTTCTTTTCTTTTTAAGGTTAAACACTATTCCATTGTGTGTAGGTATTATATTTTATTTATCCATGTATCTATCAACGGACATTTAGGTTGCTTCCACCTCCTGGCTATTGTGAATAGAGCCGCTGTAAACGTGGTATATGAGTATCTCTTCAAGACTCTGCTTTCCGTTCTTTTGTGTATGTGCCCAAAGCGGATTGCTGGGTCATATGGCAGTCCTATTTATAATGTTTGGAGAAGCTATCATATTGTTTTCCATGGCGGTTCTACCATTTTGCAATCCCACCAGAAGTACAAAACGGTGTCAGTATCTCCACATCCTCGCCAACACTTACTAATATTCTTTTTCTGTCTCTTTTTATAGAGTATCCATCCTAATCAGTGCACTATCTCATTGTTTTGTTTGGGTTTTCGCTCATGATTAGTGACGTTGGGCATCTTTTCGTATTCTTGTTGGCCATTTGTGTATCATTCATAGAGAAATGTCTGTTGAAATTCTTTGCCCATTTTTAGATGTTTCTTCTTTTCCCTATGCTTCTCCTTTCTTCAACTTTTTTTCCTTTTATTGACTCTGCCTCCACTTCTGCTTTTCCCATTTTTTCAACCTCTACTAGTTCTGCTTTTCCTACTGATTCTGCATCTGCTGCTTTTTCCTGTGCTCCTTTCTGTAACTGTCTTCCTCTTAATGACTCTGTCTCATCTTCCCCATGTTCAGCGTATCCTTATTCAGTTACTTTTCTGCCAACTTTACCTATATTTCTTTTCCATGTGTTTCTCTTTCCTGTGGCTGTTTTACCTACTGCTGGCTCTATGCTCACTTCTGGTTTTTCTTTTTTCAGGGCTTGCTAATTTTGCTGCTTTTTCTGCCTCTGCTTCTCCTTTCCCTGTGCTTCTCCATTCCGTGGCTGTCTTCCCTTTTGCTGGCTCTTCCCCTGCTTCTGCTTTCCCTTCAGTGTCTGCTGATTCTATGACTTATTTTGTAATTTGGCCTGCGCTCCTTTCTGTGTGCTGCTCCTTCTACAGCTGGTTTCCTTGTGTTGGTTCGGCCCCTGTTTATGCTCTCCCTTCAGTGTCTGCTGATTCCACTGCTTTTTCTGCCTCTGCTTCTGCTTTCCCTGTACTTCTCCTTTCTGCAACTAATTTTCTCTTGCTGACTCTGTCCCTGCTTCTGCTTCCCATTTCAGTGTCTTATAATTCTGCCAGGGGAGGGGGGTTGGCCTCTGCTTCTTCTTTCTGCAGTTGGTTTCTTTTTGTTGGCTGCTTCTGCTTTCCCCTTTCATGTCTCCTGATGTTGGTACTTTTTCTTCCCCTGATTCTGCTTTTTCTGTGCTTCTCCTTTTTGCAGCTGGTTTCCTTTTGCGGACTCTGTCCCTGCTTCTGCTTTCCATTTCAGTGACTTCAGGTTCTGGGGCTTTTTTGGCTTCCACTTCTCCTTTTCCTGTGCTTCTCCTTTCTGCAGCTGGTTCCTTTTGCTGGCTTTTTCCCTACTTCTGCTTTCCATTTCAGTGACGTCATGTTCTGTGGCTTTTTTGGCTTGTGCTTCTCCTTTTCCTGTGCTTCTCCTTTCTGCAGCTGGTTTCCTTTTTCTGTCCCTACCCGTACTTCTGCTTTCCATTTCAGTGACGTCAGGTTCTGGGGCTTTTTTGGCTTGTGCTTCTCCTTTCCCTGTGCTTCTCCTTTCTGCAGCTGGTTTCCTTTTTCTGTCCCTGCCCGTACTTCTGCTTTCCATTTCAGTTATGTCAGGTCCGTGGTTTTTTTGGCTTGTGCTTCTCCTTTCCCTGTGCTTCTCCTTTCTCCAGCTGGTTTCCTTTTGCTGCCTCTACCGGTTACTTCTGCTTTCCATTTCAGTGTCTTATAATTCCCAGGGAGGAGGGTTGGCCTCTGCTTCTTCTTTCTGCAGTTGGTTTCTTTTTGTTGGCTGCTTCTGCTTTCCCCTTTCTTCTCCTAGTGTACTTTTTCTTCCCTGATTCTGCTTTTCTGTGCTTCTCCTTTCTGCAGCTGGTTTCCTTTTGCGGACTCTGTCCCTGCTTCTGCTTTCCATTTCAGTGACTTCAGGTTCTGGGGCTTTTTTGGCTTCCACTTCTCCTTTTCCTGTGCTTCTCCTTTCTCCAGCTGGTTTCCTTTTTCTGTCCCTACCCGTACTTCTGCTTTCCATTTCAGTGACTTCAGGTTCTGGGGCTTTTTTGGCTTGTGCTTCTCCTTTCCCTGTGCTTCTCCTTTCTGCAGCTGGTTTCCTTTTGCTGGCTTTTTCCTTGCTTCTGCTTTCCATTTCAGTGACTTCATGTTCTGAGGCTTTTTTGGCTTGTGCTTCTCCTTTCCCTGTGCTTCTCCTTTCTCCAGCTGGTTTCCTTTTTCTGTCCCTGCCCACACTTCTGCTTTCCATTTCAGTGACGTCAGGTCCGTGACTTTTTTGGCTTGTGCTTCTCCTTTCTCCAGCTGGTTTCCTTTTGCTGCCTCTACCCCTACTTCTGCTTTCCATTTCAGTGTCTTCAGGTTCTTTGCCTTATTTTGGCTTCTGCTTCTCCTTTCCCTGTGCTTCTCCTTTCTGCAGCTGGTTTCCTTTTGCTGGCTCTTTCCCTACTTCTGCTTTCCATTTCAGTGTCTTCATGTTCTGTGGCTTTTTTGGTTTCTCCTTCCCTGTGCTTCTCCTTTCCCTGTGCTTCTCCTTTCTGCAGCTGGTTTCCTTTTTCTGTCCCTGCCCGTACTTCTGCTTTCCATTTCAGTGACTTCAGGTTCTGGGGCTTTTTAGGCTTCTCCTTTTCCTGTGCTTCTCCTTTCTGTAGCTGGTTTCCTTTTGCTGCCTCTACCCCTACTTCTGCTTTCCATTTCAGTGTCTTCAGGTCTTTGGCTTATTTTGGCTTCTGCTTCTCCTTTCCCTGTGCTTCTCCTTTCTGCAGCTGGTTTCCTTTCGCTGACTCTGTTCCTGCTTCTGCTTTCCATTTTGGTGTCAGCTGATTCTGTGGCTGTATGGCCCCTGCTTATTGTTCCCTCGTGCTTTTCCTTACTATCGCTCGTTTCCTTTTCTGACTCTCTCCTTGATTTTGCTTTCTCGTTCAGAGTCTGCTGACTATGCTGTTCTTTCTACTGATTAATAACCCTGATCTTTTTTTTTTCTGGTGATACTTTTGTTTTTGCTTATTCTGTTTCTTTTTCTGCTGATGCTGGGTTTTTTTTTTTTTTTCTGCTTCTCAAGTTGCTCCTGCTACTTTTGCTTCTCCTTCTTGGTCTTCTACTTTTCTATACCTTATTTTGGACCTCCTTTTAACTTCACTGTTGCATGCCCCTTCATGGCTACTCCAGTCCTCGCTGCACATTATGCTTCCACTTATAACTGCTCCACGCCTTATTGTTTTTTTCAGTTTCAACTTACTCCCCCACCTGAATAAAAAGAATCTGATATTAAAGTCATGGTACTGTGTCCTAGATAGCTGGTTAACCTGTCGATTAGCCATTACCTTAGGTGTTCACCTCTGGAACAGTCAGCCGCGGCACCAGCTGAGGAGTAGAACAGTGAATCACACGGGGGAGTACAGGCGCACTTGGGGCCCCGGGGACGGAAGGGAATCCATAGTCCTTAAAGGGAGTGTGCCTGCGTCGGCAGCAGTGCTTCCCCATCTGGAAGTGGACTGAACAGAAGGAGCAGTGAAGCAGCCATGCTGAGGAAGTGACTCTTTTTAGAGAGCTGGGTCCAAAGACATGAGAAACCAGGGAAGGTGGCTGAGCAGTTGTGCCACGGCTTCCTATCCAGACACGAGGGAAAGACTGGAGACAAATAAGGAGAGAAGAATAGAGGGAACAAGGTTTTGTAGTAAATGAGGATGAGATTAAGAACACAACAAGGCTGAAGGGTAGACCACAATGGAAAATGTGGTACCAAATGCCTTTGAAACGAGAACCAGGAGGGAAGCCGAACTGTTCTGTTATTGTGTCCCTTGGCGTTGCAGGTCCTGAGTCTGTGTCACCTTCCCTGCTCAAGGTCGTGATGAAACCCACAGCGACGGTCGGCAAGGACTACCAGTACCCGCCAGTGAACTGGGCCGCATTGCTCTCCCCGCTCATGAGGCTGAACTTCGGTAAACATCAAGTGTTTTTAGGTCTCTGGAGTCTGATTTTAGGGTGTGACCTGGGTAGAAAAATGTATCCTGTCTCACAGGTGGCACTGACCAGATAGACCTTTGGGATTTTGAAGTTTGGCTCCTTGGATGGAACCACTGGATTACTTTCACTGGTCACTTTGTAAACAGTTGAGGAAAAGGAGACAGACGTCTGAAGACACAGATGCAGAAAGACGCACTCATCAAGATAACACTTGACTGAGATGCGCTTGGTGTTGGGCATGTGTTGCAGGCACCAAAAAGCTGGGTTGGATGTTTGTCAGACTGCACTTCCAGAGCCCCGTGTTTCAGGGAGGTGGTCAGTGGAATGCTGCAACAGTCTCCTGTTGCCGCTGTAACAAATTTCCACACACTCAGTGGCTTGAACCAATGCAAATTTATTTCTTTGTCTTATAGTTCTGTAGATCACAATCCAACGTGGTTCCTTCTGGGCTGAGATCAAGGTCTTGGCAGAGCAGCATCATTTCCTAGGTGCTTTAGGCGGGTACTGTGGTCTGAACATTTATGCCCCTCGAAAATTTCTGTGTTGAAATCCTAAATTCCAGTATGATGATACAAGGTGGGGCCTTTGGGAAGCGATTAGGTCATGAGAGCTGGAGCCCTCATGAATGAGATTAATGTTCCCATAAAAGAGGCCCCACAGCTCCCTAGCCCCTTCCCCATGTGAGGACACAGCAGGGAATTGGCAGTCTGTCTCCCCAAAAAGGATCCTCACCAGAATCTGACCATGCTGGCACCTTGATTACGGAATTCCAGCCTCCAGAACTGTGAGAAATAGATGTCTTCTGTTTACAAGCCACCCAGTCGGTGGTACTTTGATATCAACCCAAACAGACTGTGATAGGGAGAATCTCCCCCCCCCCTTTTCTAGCTTCTAGAGGCCTCCCGTATTCCTTGGTCTGTGCCTCCCGCCCCTTCTCCTTCATCAAAGCAACAGAGGGCTGGTCTTCTCATGCTGTCATCTTCCTGGTTCTCCGAACCTGGACAGAGTTATCCACATTTAAGGATTCACTTAATTAAAGGAGTCCAACTGAGTAACCAGGATAACTGCCCTATCTCCGGGCCATTAAGTTTAATCACATCTGCAGAGTTCCTTTGCCATGCAAGGTAACATATTCACAGGTTCCAGAGATTGGCATGTGGACGTCTCTGGGGGCCATTATTCTGTCCACCACAGGTACTTTGTGGTGAGCGGCAAAGGGAATGCCTTCCTCCACACCTCGAATTCATCCACAGCAACCTCTTTTATAGACTTAGCATCTACAAATTCAAGTTCATGTACTTACCCCTCACCCCCGCCCCCCAAAAGATAGAGAGAGAGAGAGAATAATTTTGACAGCACTGCGGTTGTGGGTGTTTGTGTGTATTTGTCACAAGTGCTGTTTTTTATACTGGGGTGTTTACTTACGTATATAAGAAATATTTGTATACTATAATCTATGGGCAATTTAAGAGATAATCAAAAATTATTTTAACTGCGCATAATTTTCATTTAAATGTTTTCATTTTAACCCAGTCCCACCATAAGAAATGATGTTACTGTACTGTGTTATCAGAGATTTCATTTGAAAAATATGTCTCCTTGCCCCCCCCCCCCCCCCCGCTTTTGCATGCTTGGTTGAAAATGCTTGTGTTTTAGTAAAACAAACAAACATTTTCTTGTTTGGAGAAAACAAGAAAGTATGTCTGCTGATATGGATCAGACTGTTAGAAAGACTCAATCACTGCAGAATGCGGCTGCATCTTTAAGTCCTTCCAGATCTAGACAGATTTCTCTATATCCTGAATGCAAGGTTGAGAGGAAAGGAAAGCAAAGGCAAAGAGATCTTTAGCTAAAATTTTCTCAAAGTTCTGACAGCATTTGAATGTCTAGGTTTATCTGGATATCATAAGAGATATTATCCTAGCTACCTCAAGGCCTTATCTGTCCTAAGGCTTGGGATTCTGTTGCCAGTAGGTACATTCTTGTACCTCTTCTCCAGAAGGTCTCTTGAAATACCTCTTGGTTTACTGAAATTCTGTTACCTGTAGAAGATGCTTTGATTTGAGACACTTAAAGCTAAAAGTCAGAGAAGGAGCTACACGAGATACTCTTTTTCTTTCTTCTCTTTTAGGTGAAGAGATACAGCAGCTGTGCCTTGAAATTATGGTGACTCAGGCACAGTCATCGCAGAATGCAGCTGCACTGTTGGGATTGTGGGTGACGCCACCGCTGGTCCATGGTCTGAGTGTAGGTAGCAACTGAGGGTGCTGGGCAACAGGAGGGTATGGTTCTGTGGGGGAGATTAACATTGATTTGGGTGTGTGCTCTCAAAGTCAAGGGTGGGAAAGGGGGATTTTATAGAAAAATTGAGGGTTTGACAGTCACTGGCCAGCAGAGTGGAAAATTGTGAGACTCAGAACTCTGCCATAGCTGTCACCATTCCTGCCATCAGCTACCATCAAACGAAAAGGGAAAATGATGATGTGATGATCCGAGATACTGAAGTTCCCTTTTCAAGTTCGTACAGCTAGAAAGTTGTAGAGTTATTTGAGCCTAGGCTTATTTGTTTATATGATATACGTAATCATTTCGGTAGATATTAAGAGGGACAAGCCACATGTGCAGGATATATGACCCCTCCTTTTCACAGAAAAGACAATAATTAAAGTGAGCCTTGCAGGCTAGGTAGGATCTGGTTAGGCATCAAGTCAGAGACACCAGGAGACGTGCAGGGAGTAGGAAGTCTCAGCTAGGGTGTGCATCGTGAACAAAGTGCTGAGGAAGAAGCGATCTAGCCTGTCATTGGTTGATTACCTTAGGTCAGGGCCGATGATGCTTGTGTTTCAGTCTTCGTTCCTAAAGCATGAAGGAAGTGTTCCATGCTTCCTTAGAGGTTTCCCGATGGACAGTAAGTTAAATAACCTTACCTTTGTTACTCTTCTCTTCTCTTCTTGGAGGCGTTAATTCTTTGAGAATACTGCAAAGCCCTCCTATTATGCCCTCAAACTTTGGTTTCAGTCCCTACTCTTCACTTTTTTCCTTTAAGCTCTCCTATGTCTCCAAATACTTTTTAATTGACGGTCGATATTATTGATGTGTGCATCCTTTCTGTCAGCTTTTATCATTGCCTCTCTGCTCCAAGCAGCTCCCATCTGGCCACTACTTGCTGAGAGCTTGCTATGCACTGGCTACTTATAAGCACTCAGTGAGGATTTTCAGACATCAGATTAGATCTCTTCAACCCTGACAGGCTGATTTTTCTTACAGCTTTATTGAGTTGTAATTTACATTCCATAAAGTATAGCCATTTTAAGTGTAATTTGAGTTTTAGTATATTCATAAATTTTCCTCCCTCACCAAGCGTACGTCCATCACCCCAGAAGCTCCTGCGCCTGCTCGTCGTCAGTCTGCACTCCCAGGGTCAGACCCAGGTGACCGCTGTTCTTTGTCTCTGTATTTTTGCCTTTTTAAAAGAACTTTCGTGTAAATTTACATTTCCTGTAAAGTTCAGAAATTCTTTGTAGAAAATTTAGAAATTCCATTATAGAATGGAATCATATAATATGAAGTCTTCCATGTCTGGCTTATTTTACTTCTGAGCAGTATATTTTGTGATTTCCATTTTACAGGTTGATAAACTGAGGCAAAGTCCCCGTACCTAGCAAGTGGAGGGGAGTCTGAATGACTCCCAAGCCTGTGCCTTAAACACTGTGCTGTAATTCCTTCCCTTTGAATCAGCCAGTTTTGTTGACCTCAGAAATTTTTTTAGGCTTTACTTTTCTTTCCATTTCTCTTTTCAGATCTGTGCTGCTCTTTTGCATTTGTCCTTGATTATGGACCTTTTATATTATCTTCATTAATTAATAAATGAAGTTTGTGAATTCATTTACTTAATTATGACCCTTCTCATTAAAAAAAATCTGAAATGACACATTCTTTAGAGTGCTCACGCAATGACACTGATCATTTTAGAGATATACTGGTTGTTGTCTGGTTTGATTTCTTTATACAACTTCTTTTAGACTTGCTGCTTCTTTAGTATCATACTTAATGTTTCTGACAACTTTTGAAGCTGCTGTCTTAAAGTCTGCAGCCCAGTCCTGCGGTTAACTGTGCCTCTCCTTAGCTCTCATGACCTTTTAAGGTGCCATGGTCAGTTTCACACACTCAGCTGGTGCCTCTTCAGGCAGAGGTGGACTCACATGCAGTTCCTCTTACTTCCCCGTGCCTCCTCCGAAGAAGAAGAAATTAGTATCACCAGATACCCTGTTTCATTGATTCCCAGCAGACAAGCCTTTCATCTTCAGGAGCTTTTCTTCACAGAAGATGTGATCTGTTAAGACTGAATAGCGACAACTGGCCTGTGCTTCAGAAGTAGCATTTTACCCCCCTCACTGAAAAGATCCAAGGTGTAAGCTGAGTAGTTCACGGGTGGTTTGGCCGATGCCATACCTACACACAAGTCAGGCTGGATCAGAAGTCACTGCAGCAGCCAAAGTCACATGCACTGGTGGCCCTCTGGACGCTGAAGCTGTGGGAAACTGAGGGGCATGCCCCAGTTTACTCTCAAACACAGTGACAACCTGGAAGTTTTAAGCGTTGCAAATCCAGACTTGCCTGTTTACATCTGACCTCTTCTGTTTAACTTCCAGCTGAATATCAAGAAATACCTCCTAGTATCTGCACCTCTGTGGATCAAACACGTCTCCGAGGAACAGATCCTGGGTTTTGTTGAAAACTTAATGGTGGCAGTTTTTGAAGCTGCTTCCCCGATCTCCAACCATGAGCTATGCTTGAGCGCCTTGCAGGGTCTGAGCCAGGCTATGAAACTGCCCAGCCCTGCCCACCACCTCTGGAGTCTGCTCCGTGAAGCTACTGGGAAAATTTTTGACCTGCTGCCAAGTAAGATTCGGGTGAGGAACAAAAATATTTACATTCCTGACAATTTGTGTTTGGGATTTTTAAAGCCTTTTTGGCAAAGCAGGGAGGTGCATGTTTTAAGAATGTGGTGGGAAGGCTAGCAAGGAATAACCACGTTCTTCACTAAGAATGTGTTTGCTTCCAAGATCTAAATTGAGGTTGAATATTTAGAACCAAAGTCTTGAGCAAGCTCAGGGGCCTGTTAACCAGTGCTGCACCGGGACATTTGCTCCTACGCCTGTTACTAAACGCCTGCAGACGTTGAACAAACTCAGAAACACACACACTTTGCACCTGGGGAATCCCTGGGCATGTTTTTCAATATGCTGTTCATATGACCTAGCACTAGCCTTTGCTCCCACTCCCCAACAGACCTCTGAATTGTAGTTTTACAAAGATGTTAATAATCCATTTGGAATGATGGATCCTGATGAGAATAAAGAACAGTCAAACAAATACACAATAGCAGGAAAGGTGAGGGTTGTTGTTGTTTTTTTAATAAGAAAGAATGGCCACATGTTAAAATCTCACTCTGGCTGGGTGGCTCAGTGGGTGGAGTGCCGTTCCACACAACAGAAGGTTGTAGGTTCCATCCCCGGTCAGGGCACACACTTAGGTTGTGGGCGTGGTCCCCAGTCAGGGCGTGTATGGAGGCAACAGACCGATGTTTCTTACTTCGATGTTTCTCTCTGTCTCCCTCTCTTTCTAGAATCAATAAAAACATACCCTTGGGTGAGGATTTAAAAAAATTAGAACCTCATCAGTTGCTGTTCATGGAGATAAGCAAATCCAACAATTTGTTGGAACATTAAGAATGTACTTACCTTTCATTGTATTCGACATGCTTGTTTTTCTTTACCAGAGAAATGATTTGGAGCTGTATATCAGTGTGGCAAAATGCCTCTCAGAAATGACAGATGATGAAGCCAATCGGGTTGCCCAGGTTACTGAGGTAATAATATATCTATGTCTGTTTTCATTACTGAGGTGGGAATTACAGTTGAAGTGTTGATTACAGTATCCTTTTGGTTAAATGTAGTTTTGCTTGCTACTTGTTACTTTCAGAAACCTGCCTCACTCTGGTCTTGTGTCCAGCCTGGTAGTATGATTGGTTCTTAGAAATATTGTGTGTAATGATGCTTTAACCTAACTAATCCCACTTTATCAAGAACACTTCAGTGTCACCTGTGGGCAAAAATAAGTACAAGACAACATCTTCAATATAAAATCCTCAAAAATGGGAAAATTCCAACCAAAGAACTTTCTGGTACATGGAAAGTTCTTGCACCAGAACTATAGTTCAGGTCTCACATTTGTTTTTCATCACCTGGTACTTATCCTTTTGTAATAAAGAAGGGTGTCTGATTGAAAAACAGGCACCCTCAGACCCATGCCCAGTCAAATGAAGAGTGGGCAGAAGGTAGCGTGTCTGTGAGGTTGCCAGCTTTAGCAAATATGGCCTGTTAAATTTGAATTGCAGATAAACAAGGAATAATTTTTTAATTATAAGTACATCTCAGTGGACATACTTGTTCAAATGGCACCCTGCTTTCCAGGTAATATCAAAGTTCTGTAGAACTATGAGCCCTCACAGAGCAGGCCGACATCTTATTCCACTTTAAGGAGGGTTTTACTGTCCAGTCACATCCTTGAACTTTGGCATCATGTAGCAGTGATTCGTAAAATGTGCTCCCTGGACCTGGGAACTGATTAGATGTGCCAGTTCTCAATCCCGCCCCAGACGTCCTCCATCAGAAGCTCTGGGCTGGGGCCAGGAGAGTGCATGTCAGCAGCTCTCCCGGGTGCCTGGTGCTTCCCGAGGTTCGAGGACACTGGAGTACTCGGAACGCCAGCATTTTGGAGACACGGTCACTTTAAGGAAGGAAAAGCAGTATCAGGAAAAGCTTAAATGAATGGACTACGGAGCCTCGCATCCAGGCTTTGAAATCCAGCTCTCTAATTTACCAGTGTGACCTTAGTTACATTTCATAACCTCTCTCTGCCTAAGTTTCCTCATCTGTAAAAGGAGGTAAGAGCACCTACCTATTTGGATTAATTTGTGAGTTAAATGACTTAATTCACATTAAGTTCTTAGAAAAGTCCCTGACCCAAGGTGAGGACTCAATAATGATTTATTACCATAATTATGATTTTCATGTCACTTATTAATACTGTTATTTATTCATGTAATATACTCAGAGGTAGTGCATACAATTTACTTCGTGGCACCAAGTGCTAGAGGTTGCTGTGTTATTCCCTTGGGCTCCTAATGTTCCATTCAGGGCACTGTCACTACAACATACTAAATAGTCTTCTGATGTCCCCAGAAGAGTTAGTGCATTCCACTGAGGTCAGTGTTGTCATTTCTGGAAAGAATGGGGGTAAGAAAACAATAGTGGTGAAGACTTCAGACTCCACATGTTCCCATTTTTTTCTGCCACCAAAGCTGTGTGACCTTAAGCAAGTTACCCGACCTCTGTGCCTCAGTCTTCTCATCTGAAAAGGAGGGGTGGAAATAGTCACCTACTGCACACAGCTGGTGCGAGAAGTCCATGGTTAATGCAGAGGTTAAACTTTTTGGTCTCAGGACTATTATCATGTCTGAAAAATTAAGATATGATTGATGATTCCAAAAAGCTTTATTTACATGGATTATCTCTGTCAACATTTACTATATTGGAAATTAAAACTAGGAAATTTATAATTATTTACTTAAAAGTAATAATAAGCCCACTGCATTTTTTTAATATTAAATTTTATTTAGTTACTTTTCAAGTACATTTTTTTTTATCTATTTCTCCCATCCCACCCCACCCCCCCGCCCGGTCTCCCCCCTCCCTCCCATCCCCCCCCCAGTCCTCATCTCTGTGTCTTTCATACTTGTTCCTCAAAATCCCTCCCCCTTTTTCCCCTTAAGTTCCCTTCCCTCTCCCCTCTGGTCGCTGCCCACTTGTTCTCTATTTCAGCGTCTTTGTTTTTATTCTGTTTGCTTGTTTGTTTTATTCTTTAGCTTCCTGTCAAAGGTGAGATCATATGGTATTTGTCCTTCAACACCTGGCCTATTTCACTCAGCATAATGCTTTCCAGTTCCATCCATGTTGTTGCAAAAGGTAGTAGCTCCTTCTTTCTCTCTGCTGCATAGAATTCCATTGTGTATATGTACCACAATTTTTTGATCCATTCATTTACTGATGGGCACCTAGGTTGCTTCCAACTCTTGGCTATTGTAAATTGTGCTGCTATGAACATTGTGGTGCATAGGTTCTTTGAAATTGATGTTTTAGGATTCTTGGGGTATAATCCTAGCAGTGGAATTGCTGGGTCAAAAGGCAGGTCAATTTTTATTTTTCTGAGAAAATTCCATACTGTTTTCCATAATGGTTGTACCAGTCTGCAATCCCACCAACAGTGAACTAAGGACCCCTTTTCCCCACACCCTCTCCAACATTTGTTGTTTGTTGCTTTGTCTATTATAGCCATCCTGACTGGTGTAAAGTGGTATCTCATTGTGGTTTTAATTTGCATCTCTCTGATAGCTAACGATATTGAGCATTTCTTCATGTGTCTCTGGATATTCTGTATGTCCTCTTTAGAGAAGTGTCTGTTCAAGTCCTTTTCCCATTTTTTAATTGGGTTCGATGTCTTCCTAGAGTGGAGTCGTGTAAGTTCTTTGTATATTTTGGAGATTAAACCTTTGTCTGAGGTATCATTGGCAAATATGTTTTCCCATACAGTTGGTTGTCTTTTTAATTTAATACTGTTTTCTTTAGCTATGCAGAAGCTTTTTATTTTGATGAGATCCCATTTGTTTATTCTTTCCTTTATATTCCTTGCTCTAGGGGACATATCCGTAAAAATGTTGCTGCGTGGAATATCTGAGATTTTCTTGCCAGTGTTCTCCTCTAGGACTTTAATGGTGTCATGGCTTATATTTAAGTCTTTTATCCACCTTGAATTTATTTTGGTGTATGGTGTGAGTTGGTGCTCAAGTTTCATTTTTTTGCATGTAGCTGTCCAGTTCTCCCAACACGATTTGCTGAAGAGGCTATCTTTACCCCATTTTATGTTACTGCCCCCTTTGTCGAATATTAATTGACTGTAGAGGGTTGGTTTGATTTCTGGGCTCTCTGTTCTGTTCCATTGGTCTATGTGCCTGTTTTTATGCCAGTACTAGGCTGTTTTGATTACAGTGGGTTTGTAATACAGTTTGATATCAGGTATTGTGATCCCTCCTACTTTGTTCTTCTTTCTCAAAAGAGCAGCAGGTATTCAGGGTCGTTTCTGGTTCCATATAAATTTTTGAAGTGTTTGTTCTATGTCTGTGAAATACGCCATTGGTACTTTAATAGGTATTGCATTGAATCTGTATATTGCTTTGGGTAGTATGGACATTTTGATGATGTTAATTCTTCCAATCAGCCCACTGCATCTTAACAAATAAAAAATATTTTCCAGAAAAGCAAAATAACTAATGAGAAAAATGGCATTGTTTCACATTGTTGCAAGTCTCTTCAATGTCTGCCTTAATAGAAAACAGTTGGAGTCTCATAGCTGTTACTTCTTTCAACTTGTTGTCCATTATCGGGGTGAAGCCTGTGAAGAAAGCCCAGCATCATGCAGCTATGCAGGTAGAAAAGGGAAAAGTCTGTTAATAGGCTTGTCAGATGATTATGGGTATCTTTCTTTGATATTGCATCAAAAATTCAACACGTGGTACTTTCTTCTATGTTGGTTACAGTGTGGAACCTGAAATACCACATCTTTCAGACTATACAACGCACTTTTCCCCCACAATTCGGGAGGAAATGGGGGTTTGTCTTATAGTTTGAATGTAGCTTTACATTTACATTGGTGAAATGTTATGTTATTTATGTTATTAAATATTTTACCACATTTTTTGCTTCAAAAAGTTTTTTCTATTTCCCTCTAAAACCTAGGTACGTCTTATGATCTGAAAATACGGTAATCCATGAACTTCACACACTCTGTTACATTAAAATGCTTTGGTCTCCCCTGTGCTCTTGGTCTGTTACCAGTGCATGATTTTGTAATATTGTATGTTGGCCATTTGAAAAATTTTGAATCACTAAGTTTTGAAAATCTTTCAAATGTTGATACATTTCATTATATAATATCAAAACACCATATTTGTTAGTATCACCAGCAGTCTCATCAGAAAAGTCTTTTATGTATTGGGAAGCTGACAAACTCATATAAGCAGATACAGATTTTGCAAAAATCTAATTTGTGCTTGAAAGTTCAGACTTTATATTATTGGCAGTGAATATTGTCAAGTATTTTCCTTGAGGTGAGAGTCTCATTTCCTTCAGTTTTAAGAAAACAGTCATTCAGATACTCATTTGAACAACCATGGGAGTTCCATGGGAAGAATTGCCATTTCAGCTTCCAGCTCAGTGTTGCAAGTGTTTTTCCTTGAGACAGCTGAGGCCCCGGCATGCAGCAGAAGTCTCTCACGTGTGCAGACCTGTCTTGTCACACGGAGTGTTGGAAAGATGTGCCCTCAAGGGCAAAGGCTTAATGAAACTAATAATTTCTATTTACAGGGACATTTTAAGTGAAACTAGATTTTTAAAAAATTTTAAGTGGCAGTGGAAAATATAATGAATATTATTACTACAGTTTGATGCTATTATGAATATAGTTTGACCTCACAGATCCTCTAAAAGGGTCTCAGAGTCCCCCAGAGGTCTGTGCGCTGCCCAATTAATATAGGTTAAGTGCTCAGAATGGTGCCCCGCATAAGATAACTGCTGTGTGTGTGTGTGTGTTGTCATTGTTATTATTTGTGTGTTTTTACTAAATATCATCACCAGTTAACCCCCGAAATCATTTCTGGTTTCTGTAAGAAAACAGGAGGCGACACTACAGTGTTCAATCTACATGTGCATTTCAATAGAGCACGCAGGCAGCTAGGTCACACGCTGCAGGAAATAAGCAGTTTTAGCATTTGGAATAATAATCAACTTCACTCTCACCCTTTCTGTTTTGCCCTTGCCCTGAGGGCCTGTGACAACTTCAGTTAATTTAATAGCAACTGAACAATTTGCTTTTTTGCAGAGCAGCATAGAAAAGGTGGCCTTTGTCAGACTGTACTTGGTCTCTCAAGGACGGTTCCCCTTGATGGGCTTGACTGACATGCTCAGTGTTGCTGTTCAGCACCATGAAAAAGACACGCTGGCCTGGATGATGCTGCACAGCCTATACCACGCACGGATTGTGAGCCACGCCAACACAGGTGAGGCCCGTGTGGGTGAACATCAGGAACAGAAGGGTCTGCTGCCATCCCGTTTGAGTTGCCTCCACCTAACAACTGGTTTAGTGCTTCTGGACGCAGGCGAGCCTGCGTACCCCAAATAAGGAGCAGCTTGAGTGGAAACGAGCAGTTACATCTGATAACATCTGCTCGTTGGAGATGGGATCAAATTCTTGCGAGGATTTTTATCTTGTTTTTGGCCCTCAAGGATATAAACAAGTTTATCAGGTAGATTCTGCCTGCTTCAGTTTCTCAGACAGACTGCACAGCCATTGATTATGCCTGATGTTTTCATGAAAATGGCGCTTGGGTAGTTGTTTAGCAGACAAACAAAAAACAAACAATGAAATTAAATAGTTGTTCTATTTAGAACAGAGGTGAGAAGAACAAAATCTGGACAACCTACCCATGTCCTCAAGCCAGAAGTTCCAGGCCAAGGCTCTGCTAGTGAATTATAGGGTGCAACTATGAAACCCTTGTAGACATTTAGGGTTTAGAGTCGTCTGAAAAGGGAACACCTCCATTTCTCCCCCAGGGCCGTAGTCATGTGCTTAGACTTCTCGAGACTATGTCCTAGGTTCTGAGAGGCACCTGGTTACTCCCGTGAGATGTGTGGCTGGGAAGCCCTGTGACCACCGGCCAGTTACTGGCATTTCTTCGCTCAGTGTCCCCCATCTCTAGTATATGTGAAGTTCTGAGAGAAAGCCGGCACACCTGATTGTAATGTTCTTTCCCAAACTGCATGGGAAATTTTGATCCCTCTGCCTCTGTGGCAGTTGAAACAGTGGTCTCATATATGCATTAGTACTTTACCACTTGCAGAAGGAACCTGTGATGAGAAACTAGACTTTTTTCCTCTAAACCAAAACTGTATTTATCAAGAAAAAAATGCAGTAGGTGTTCCCAATTAAGCATGAAGATACATCAAGCAGATTGAAATAGATTTGATACTGCCATTGGTTCTAACCTTAACTTTGAAAACCTTTCCAAGTAGTTTTTACCCTAATGGGAATCCTCATTTTTTTTAAATAAAAAAGGAAAAAAATCAATATTTATGTTTATTCTCCAGTTACCCTGTAATAGCTGGTTTCTATTTTTCCTTTTATGTCTTTGGATAGGTTTTTTTCTGTGATTTTGGCATGAAGAGGGAACATTTACTCTAAGAACTATAAAAACAACTAATCCAAGATTCAATATTACTGGCTTTTGGTGTACCAGTTTTCCCCAAGTGTGTTTCATGTTCAGAAAGAAACTCTAAGAAATGCATTTTATCACCAGTGGGTGGGTAGGTTTGAAGAATAAGTTAGCTATTGAAAACAAAGACTAAAATAGTCATTTGGTATGAATGGCGTCCACTCTCACCGACAACTGCAAGTCTCCAGTACTGTGAGGGGCCTTCGCGTGAAACCCGCACCAGCCGTTCCTGAGTTATGGCAGTTACTACTGTTCTGTTTTGCATTTCAAAGGAAAAACCATGGCTGGTTCGGAAAATGGCTTTTTTTCTTTTCAGGTGTGCTGAAGAGAATGGAATGGCTCTTGGAACTGATGGGCTATATCCGAAATGTTGCTTACCAGTCAGCACCTGTTCCCAATGTGGCTCTCGATGAGGTACAATTTAGAGAAGCAATTTGTAGCTTTCTTAAAATACAGAACTTATATTGGCTCTCCTAAAAGAGGAATATGTTGCTGCTTGTAGCTTTCTTTTCCTCCTTGTTTTTATTTTTCGGAAACAACAGTGGTGACAACTCTGATGTCACAAACAAATGCATGTTCTTACCAGGCTCTTGGAGACACCGAGGGCTGATGTCTGAAAAAATATTGCAACAGAATACATTCCTTAACAGGCAGCAGACAGAGGACACTAGCTGGGGAGGGGACTCAGGGTCCTTGTACTTACGCTTGATCCCACAAGGAGGTGGGCTACAGGATTCTGGCCTCTACACTGGCCCAGCAGGGCTCCCACAGCTGGTCCGAAGAGATTCCTGGAGCATATGCAAGTAACTTGTATGCACCAATACTTAGGGTGTGTGTGTATATATTAGGGATTTTTAGCATACCCCTAAAATGACCCGTGACCCAAAAAAGGTTAACAACCACTGGTATTCGGTAAGTTAAAAAAGAAAAAGACTGATAAATAAAGTGATAACAGCGCCTTCCCACGTGCCTCATTTTCTTAGCAGCCAACCGTACATTTTTTAGGGGAATTTTTTTCCCTATAGACATGTTTTACGTGTTTCCTTTGTGCATAAAAATGTATAGAACTTGAAATGTTGATAGAAAATCTGCCATACTTTTCTGAGGAGTCATGTGTGTTTTAAAATTTTAGTTAGCAAGAATAGGAATTTTAAGAAATTGAGGAGTTATTTTTAAACTTTTTTAAACTAGCATGATCTGTCCTCTTGTTCTTCTGATCTCCTGAATTTTTATTAGTCTTTTCTGTTTTCTTATGAAAATCTTTTCTAACCTAGACAATACAGACAGGCACAAAGAAGTATAGTTTAAGTCACAGTAACCCAACAGGGCAGAGGCAGCCTGCGTTGTCACCATTTCTACCATTGTCTGTATTAGTCTCAAATCTAAAGGGATGGATTCTAGGCAGATTCGTTAGAAAGGGATGAGGAGAGTTATTGGTTATTGTTCAAAAATAGAGTAAGACCAGAAATATATTTCTAAATATCTCTCTCTGTATCACTCTTAGTTTTTTAGTATCTTTGAAAACAGCAAACCAGATGAGTATTTGGATCTCAGTATGATTAGGAACTCAATTCTGTTTCTCCCGAAATGTTAGAGCAGTAACGATGACCCCGATAGGCCTTCTGTAGCATCCCGGAAACCTACCAAAGCCCTACGTTGTCTCTTTATTAAGCATGGAAACGGATTTTGTTCCTCAGTCCAGTTCCTCTCCTGGAGCGGGGTGAGGCAGGAGGAGGGGTTGAGTGAAGGGGAAGACAACATTGCATCATGATGGGGGCTGTGCATGTGAACATGTGTTATTTTGAATTGTGAAAACATGTGACCTAGCCTTGTTTCAATTTCCATTGTAGGCTTTGGACTTCTTCTTGCTGATATTTGCAACCACAGTGGTTGCATGGGCAGACCATGCAGCCCCTCTCCTCCTCGGTCTCAGTGCCAGTTGGTTGCCATGGCATCAAGAAAATGGCCCTGCTGAGCCAGCATCAAGCTTCCTTGGCAGAAGTCCAATGCACAGGGTCACTCTGCAGGAGGCTCTCACTCTTCTACCCAGTAGCATGCTTCTTCTGCTGCAGAAAGAGCCGTGGAAGGAACAGACCCAGAAGGTGAGGTTGTCAGCCACCTGCTTACCAGGGCAGACAGCCGTTTTGCTCCTCAGCAATTTCTGCTGTAGATTTGAAGTGGGAGTTAAGTGAAACTTGAATCACACCACAGGCTTTCATGCTCAGCCCCAAACCTCAGCCAGATGTGGAGCCTTAGAGATGGAGACTAACGATAACAGTAGTAACAACTTGCTTACAGTGGAGGTGAGGTGGATGGAAAAGCTTATACACGCATTCATTTATTGAAGGCACATGTGTTCTTGCTCCTGGAGATGAAATGATGAGTATCTGAGAGCTCAGAATCCCCAGTGAAGAAGACAAGTTCAAGATTGCAAGATGGTATGATAAAGGAGGATACAGTGGTGATGAACAAGGACTGGGTTGGTCAGCAGTTCCAGGGAGGGAATCAGGGACAACTCCTGTGGGGAAGCATGAGTCTGGAGCATCCATCCTCTTGTAGCTCAGCTCCTTTCACCCTGCAGCTAGGCCCGAGGTGCCGTGGTGCTCCTGGCTTGTGCTAGAGACTGCGGGGAGATTTGTGCAGATCTACTGTGATCACCCTTGCCCTCAGGGAAATCCACACTGTAGGAGGTACCTTTTGGCTTTTGATACTAAGATTCTCCAGGCTACTAGTTTTTGTGCAGAGCATATGAAAATACTGTGCTTTCCTGGTATTCTCATTATGTGGTTCCGACCTGTCCTTATTTTTATACAGTTGTTTGAAAGATTCTTTTCTGAATGTCATTTTAATCAAAATTGGATTTTTTTGAGGTAGAAAGCTTAAATGTAACTTCATGTAGCTTATTCATAAAACCTGAACACCAGTCTATAAAAAACACTTTGAACTGTGCACCCACAGTGCAGCTACACACACTCCACTGAGCATATTTACTTTACCAGTAGGATACTTTAAAACAAACTTGGTAAAAGGAAAATAAACAAAGAAACAAACTTTTAATTAAAGCACGGAGTTAGGAATATTTTTTTCTCTATTTTACTCTTTCTTCAGCACAGCTTGTATATCCGGAGTTCAAATGAGTCAAGGTTGGCAACATTCAGGAGTCGATAAAATTACCCCCTATCTGATTCACAACCAGTTCTGGACGCACCCTAGGAAATCAGTAAAACTCATGAGGAATATGAGTTTCCACTTTATTTGCAGGATTTATTTGCAGTTAACAAGTTTGGCTCTACCTAATAAATTATTTTATGCCTTTTCTCCTACATTTCCACTTATATTTCATATTCATTTGGGCATAAACTGGTCTTATCTACAGAAACATATTTTACAGTACACCCAGCCTGGGAGCCTAGACCTGTTGCACACAGACCCAGGTAGCAGGCAGCACAATGCAAAGAAAGAGTATAAGGCTTTGGAGCCAGGAACACTGGGGTTCAACTCTCCACTCTGCTCTTCATTGAGAGTGGGAATGGGCAAGGCTCTTGTCCTGCCAGGTCTTCTCAGAGTAACAGGAGAAAATGTTCATGGCATGCGGGAGGCCCTCGGGGCCCAAGTGTACCTCATTCTCACCACCCATAGCAGGGCTCAGAGAATTCAGCAAAGGAAGAAGGTTCGACTTTGTGGGTCACCTGACAAAATGAGAGTTACGTCTATCTTTAACATCTTGTGCCTAGTCCCTTTTTCCAGGGACTGTCCCAGCCCTGTCAGGTGTTGCCCAGGGACCAGTGCGCCGATCCACATATACGTAGGCGCAAGGGTCTGACTAATCTCTGACTAGTGGTGGGGTTGTCTTCACTAATACTGTTCTTTGTTTTCACCCTAGTTCATCGACTGGCTATTCAACCTCATGGAAAGCCCTAAAGAAGGCCTCTCTGTAAGATCCAAGGGTCTTTTAAGAGGTATGATTTCCATGCTCTATGCCCAGTGTAGGTGAAAAGCTAATGTCTGTGCTGCAAAACAGCATTTAGTGGATGTTGGTTCTGGGAAGGGCTCTTCTTGGTTCAGTTCAGAGAAGTCACCTGGAGCTGTCTCCAGTGTGGCACTGTGAGTTAGAAAGCAGGTTTAAAAAAGACTTTTAGTGTCTTTCAATTTAACTTTTATTTAAATGCATTGTCATAATTGTAAAATATGGTTTTAATTAAAATTTAGAAAATTCGTTAAAAGAAAAAGAGGAATCCAGAATCCCATTAGCCAACAATAACTTTGACATTTTTCCTAAGAAGTCTTTGCTTCCTCTGTGTACATGTTGTTTTAACATATTTAAAATTACAATTGACAAAATATACATAGACACTTTGAATACTGCCTTTCTGTTTTAAAATTATTTTTAAGGCATTGAGCCTGTTCTTACACTGGCTTCACAACAGTATTTCTAATGGCTTCCCAGTATTTTCCAAGGGAGTGGACATTCTCTAAGTGTTCAGGTAGTTCGATGGTCTTCACATTTTCATAGTGCTCCTCTGCTGATTGGTTAACCTGCGGCTGCAGGACCCACAAACATAGGAGATCTTTCTGTGAGAGTTGAGTAGGTGTTTTTACTCAAATATGAGAAGTCTTTTAGGCCTGGCTCTGTGGCCCGAGACAGCTGCAGTGCCATTCATGCCATAGGGCTGGGGCGGGGAGTCTGCACCCCGACCTGGTAAGGGTGCCTGCCGTCCGCCTACTCTCAGGGCAGTCTGGCAGGCCTCCCTCCAGCCTGGAGTCACAGCATGACCGTGTTTTACTTTAAGTGTGGTATAAATGATTACTTGCCAAACTGGTGAGAATTTCCTAAAATATTGGTTCTGATTCTCCCTACCCACAAAGTGCAAGTGGGGGCCATGTCTGTGAAGGCGATTCTGGTCAGTCACAGAACTTCTTTGAGATTAAGGGCTGGGGCCTGAAATATTTCAACTAGGTCCACCCCTGGAGATTTGCTGCTAGGATTTCCTCCATTTGTTTGCATTAGGCAGTTTGGACTCATTTCTAATGGCCGTGGGTCCGTAACACCATTGGTCGCTCCAGACATACACAGTCTTAGGTTATGAAGGTAACAAACAGTTGATACTGATGAGGAAAAGAGTATGTGGGTCAAGAAAGTACACACTCAACTTGATTATATATTCAAGAGCTTATTAGAGTCTTCTACAATAATTGTGTAACTCTGGCTTACCTACATTCCTTCACCCTATTATGTTTTAAATAACATCTCAATATATTTACATTAATATTCTAAAATAGTATTTATAATAAGCTACCTACACACATTGCACAGAACTTCCATGTTTTAAATTGATCCCTGAGGGACCCATGACAGATAAGAAAAGCTGTGGACTTACGGGTACATGTTCAAATATAGTTTAATACAGTTATGCTTGCTCCATCAAGTCCATGAGCCTAACTTCATTATAGGATCAGGTGGTGGGGTTTTTTTGTTGTTATTGTTTATTTACCTTATCATTAAGTATTTAATGGAAATATCACATTCATTTAGGAAAGTACTCAAGTCACAAGTAGATTTTTATAAAGGGAACATGCCTATGTAATCAGCACCCAGATGAAGGAAAAGACTGTCACCAATATCCCTGAAGTCAGTTTTTGTTATGATTCTGCAGAATTTCCCCCTGAGCTGGTTGCAAACAAAACAAAAATTTCCCCCAGTCTTTATTAATGGTGTTCTTCCATTAAAATTCTGCCTAAGGCTTGATGGGAAGTCTTAGTCTTGAACATTAGCCAAGTGAGAGAAAAAGGCAAGTTCTGTTCTGATACATTTTTTTCTCTAAATTACCTTTGCAAATGAAGCATCACCAAATACAGCAGTGCACTTTTTTTTGTCCCCTCAGCCACCCTGCTGTCCTTAAGAGTTCTCCCAGAGTTTAAGAAGAAAGCCGTGTGGACCAGAGCGTATGGCTGGTGAGCGGTTTTGCCGTAGCCAGCCACGTCCTCAGCTGGGAAACGAAAACCACACACACGGAAGCAGTTGCTCAGAATTTGCACCTGGGATCCCTGAGACATGATGCAGAGAGTTATTAGCCAACAGTCTGAGCCATGAATGCCAGGAGAGGGGGCACTGCTTTGGTCCCCAGGCCAGTGGAGACTGAAATGAAAACTTGAACTTTTTTTTAATTTGGCTAGAGTTCCACCTTAAGATTTTCATTGTGAAACTTTGACTGTAAAAATTCCTCACCTCCAAAAAAAATTCTAGTAAAATAATCTGAATTTTGTGAATTTTACTTATTTCAAGGCATAGGTAAGATTTTACTAGCAAAAGCAAACTATAGTATTGACGGAGGAATTACAGTTTATTTTTTATTAAGTATATAGAGGATATTCATTGATTCAATGAGTTAGACATCTTTTCTTATTGATGTATTCTCTTCGAACTGCTATACACATTTAAATAATAAGCATGGTGTTAAACAGTTGCTAAATCAGATTCATTAGCAATGACTATAATTTTCTTTTGCTTGAGTCTCTTGAATACGGGTGAAAATGACTTCAGCTAAAAAGGAGAATATAACTTGTTCACAAACCAAGAATTAAAGAGTAGATCTGTCCGGGCACAGCCGCATCCAGGGAGTCAGACAATGTCGTCAGGCTCTTCCTCTCGCGTCACCCCGTGTAGTTGTCAAGGTGCCTTTGCTCACAGGTGTGCAGTAGCAACAGGGGGAGGACTCCAGTTCATCTCGAGTCACATGTGAGCTCCTCGTAAGTGGGGTACTCTGGGTCGCATGTCCCCGTGTACTGGGTTCCCCCAGAAGAAAGATTATGGAATGCTAGGCAAGGAAAACATGACAAATACCTCCTGGAAAGATTAATCTTTTTTGTAAGTACAAATTCCTATCTTAATCAGGATCACTAGCAGCCTAATGATAAGTAAATGAAGACATGTGACAGTGTCCTCAAGGGTTGCATTTTACTCAACAGCTTGAGAATCAGCCAGCATTTTAATTTTGATGTTTGCTCATTATCTTCTCTTTATACAGTCATTAATCAGGGTTGCCATTAGCCAATCACTTAAACATACTGCTGTACATGTATACAGGATCACTGGGGAGAGATCTCGTGTCGCTGGAATAGCGTACTTTTGTGTCTGTCATGCTACACGCAGTGCCTGCTGCTTTCTAAGCGCCATGGGACTTGCGGCATTCCCGTGTGACAGTGCCTCAATGTTGTCTCCAGGTGTACCTACTTAGGATAAAAATAGATCGACTAATTTTGTTTTCCAAATAGCTAGATTTATGTTTTTAGGTCTGAAGAAATTGTGCTTCACTGTGTAACTCACATGCTGTTCCCAGGTCACAGTTCTTTCTTTGGCTGAGATGCCTACAGAAAAAAAAAAAAGGAAGGGAATGCGAGCTCTCGGGTGGTATTTACTCGCATTGCCGATATTTCATATATATTCTTCTTTAGAGGCTGAGCTAGAGAGAAATGAATTTAAAGGAAGCAAAAATGTAGAGTATTTACAGTAGAAGCCAGCTTCCCTCTTTTTCCCACCTACAGTTTCTTGTACTTCCTTCAGTGAGAGATTGCAGTTCATCTAATATTTATCGTTAGATGCCAGGCAGTGCAGTGGAGCTTTCGCTTGTGTTATCTTACTTAACTTATGCAACGAGACTGTGAAGAGGCATTATTTTCTATTTTTAAATGGAGAAAACACATCTTAGAAGCGACAGAGCTATTCCTAGAACCAAGCTCCTAGAACTTCAGATGCAGTTCTACTACATCAGGCTCATCAACACACACTTTAAGATGGAAACTTCCACCAATGATTAAACCTTAGTTTTAATATACTTGTGGTTTAATATGCTTTATTAAACCTATGGCTTATATGCTTAAGGTAGTTGCTGTAGTCAGATCAAAGAAATAATCCTGGCTCATGTTAGTAAGTCTCTAAAATTGAGAAGTTTAGGAGCTACAGTGCAGAGGAACAGGTCCTCTGTGGGTTGAAGGACTGTAGATTCCTGGGCCGGGTTGCAAACATGGATGGCAATAAAGAACAGAGAACAGGAAGTGGACACTGAGGAGCTACTCTGCAGTTTTCTCCCGAGAGAGAGCTGGCTGATACTCAGGGGAAGGATGAGGAGTCAGCCCGTTCTGTGCAGACTTCGTCCCTGCCCCTGCCCTTGACTAGGACACAGACGAGTACAAAGGCAGGGGTAAGATGTGCCTCCGACCCCTCTACCCTCACTCCCTGTTTTTGTCACCAGCATTCTTGTGCACAAAATGTGTGGGGTTTTCCTATTCATGGGAACCTCTAAAGAGTCTAAAATGGAAGACTCAAAATTTGAAAACCTAAAAATTTTAGAATCTCAACATTCTAAGGTATAGGACACTGGAATAGTAATACCCCTTCATTTGGTTACCTGTATGACCTTAGGTAGGAATTAATTATTCCCTTAGGATATTTTACTTTTTTCCTTCAAACCCAGAAGTCTGCTTTTTTAGACCAGATGTTCCAAACTCTATACAAAAGAAAAAGTTTCCTTACCAGTCATCTTCTGTTATTTTCTGAAATCATAAGTCACCAAGACAAACAGTATGTTGAGATATCCTAACAAGTCGTCATGTGGGGTTAAAGCCATGTCGTGTGTCTCAGAAATATCCAAATGCCCTGGTTCTGGATTTGAAAAGTGTTCATTTGGAACAGATGTTGGGATTCATGTAAGTGCCTAAAATCTTTTGTGTTATATTTTTATCTAGTGGCTCTGTGGGAATTAATCAGTTGTTAATAACCTTTTTTCGAAGTTAATTGATGGAGTTAATTTCTCCAAATGGTTTTAACCAAAGAGATTGATATATAACTATATAAGGAATAAGATTTTGTTAAGGACTCAACTAGTCTCTTGAAATAACTTAATCACTTTGAAAGTAAGCTGTAGGTGTAGATTTTTGGTAAGCACTTTGGTAAATTGCTGTTTTAGAAGATAAATCAGATCATTTGGTAAAGAGGATGGGCCCTCCCTTAAAGTCCGAGTCGTTGGCCACGTCTCTGGTCAGTTTGTGTCTCTGACCCAAACCAGCCTCTGGTCAGCAGCAGGCATTTCAGTGGAACCAAGGGGCAGCGTGAGGCCACCACGTCCACATCCCTGGTCACTCTTGGGGAAGCCACCGCCCAGCATCACCTCCATGTGTGAGTGTGTTCGTCACCACTCTGGGCTGGGGGAGGGGAACATGCTTTCAGATTTTCCGGAAGGAAATACTTTATTCTAAATCTGGAAATTCTAAAGTTTCTTAAAATGTATGATACATATTGTATTTATGAACTAGTAAGTCAACATGTAATCTATTAATATTCACAAGGTAAATTTTGTGAATTTTTAATTCACAAAAATTTTAAAAATTTTAAATTATAATTTAGAAAGAACATTCAATTCTTTTCAAACATAGGGAACCTGTGAAGAAATATCCAGCTAAATTATTGAATATGAAACTGAAGAAAAACGACGGGGATGACTCCCTGACTCTGGTTTTATTTCTTGGATAAAAGGAATAACCTACCTGACGAGGTAGCTGTGAGGGTTAAAAGAATACAAAAATGTGCTTTCTGAATTCTAAAATGTAACAGAAATGCTACCACTTTTATATGTTTCACTGAAAATAGTAGCTGTAATGCTTGGATACAGGCCTGCAGTGTACATGGGGACTTGGTAAGATATGGAAATTTCTTTTTTTATTATTTTTTTTATTGATTATGCCATTACATTTGCTCTATTCCCCCCTCCATTCCCCTCCACCCTGCATACCCCTCCCCCACCATTTCCCCCTTTAGTTCATGAACACGTGTCTGAAATTCTTTAGATTCTGTATTTCCCCTACTATTCTTACCCTCCCCCCTATATATTTTCTCTCTACTGTCTATGCTACTTATTTTCTGTACCTTCTCCCCCCTTCTCCTCCTCCCACTCCCCTGTTGCTAACCCTCCATGAGATCTTCATTTCTATGTTTCCACTCCTGATCTAGCTGTCCTCTTAGTTTGCTTTTGTTTTAGGTGTGGTTGTTACTAACTGTGAGTTTGCTGTCCTTTCACTGTTCATCTTTTTTATCTTCTTTTTCTTAGGTAAGTCCCTTTAACATTTCATATAATAAGGGCTTATCAGGTGTTCTCCTTAACAGTTAAAACACAGAAGCAAGTAATAGCACATTAAGAAAAGATACTTATATAAATTTTTAAACTATATTAGGTTTCTTCTGAACATGAGGTACTCTAAGATTAATCAAATATAATGGAAACATCACCCAATTTACCAGATTTCTTAAAATTTTTGTTTTCTGGATGTACTGGTAGTAATCCACAAAGTCAGATTTGCAAAACAATTGTGTCTATAATGCGCCACCAGAGAAGGTTCTAAGGTGCAAAGTGAACAGGACATGATGTTCCTGTTCTCATGGAGCTTATGTTCAGAAAATATAAATCAGGAAACCATCATGCCATAAAGGAAAGCTTCCAGGAAATATGCTACAATTTTTTTACTCCTGAGTAGCCCTTTATAATTTACAAAAGTTTAACGTACCGTCCTTCCTCTGCTCTTCACAACCACCTGGGGCGGTTATGGAAACGAACTTGGGGATTCACTCAGTACGTAAACATCGGAGCTGGATCTCCAGTCAACCCCAGTGTTCTTAACTCCAGACCGCTCTGCTCTCACAGGACCCGTGGTTCGGCCGAGCACCACGAAGTAAGTGCGCAGTGGACTCCTACATTATCTAATAAATTAAGGGATGTTTTTACTAATTGATTTTCATAAAGAATTGACTAACCTTCCTTAAAGCAAGATTTAAAATGCCAGATACCTTAGCAAAGATAGATTAATTGGTTAATAATTTCCACTGAGTATCTTGAAAAACTATTTAAGAGTAAGAAAATGCACAGAAAACGTTTTTTTTAAGATTTTATTTTCAGAGAAAGGGCAGGGAGAAAGAGGGAGAGAAACATCGATTGGCTGCCTCTCTCGCAAAACTCCAGCTGGTGCCCCGACCAGGAATCAAACTGATGACCTTTCAGTTAGCAGGCTGGTGCTCCGTTCACTGAGCCACACCAGCCAGGGCAGAAAACTTTAACTTAAATAGTTCTTATTCACAACTCTCTGTCCAAAGCTGAAACACAGTACATTCAAAAGCTGTGGTTCCCAAACTGTGGTGTGCATGAGGCTCATTTGAGGGCCCTATCAAAATGCAGGCTCCGGGCTCTCTGGTCAGATCTTTAGTGCAATCCAGACATCCAAAGACAAACACCATACAATTTCACTCATGTGGAATCTAATGAACAAACTGAACTAGTAAGGAAAATGGGGACAAACTCATAGAGAACAGAATGACAGCTTGTTGGGGGCAGGGGAGGTGAGGGATCGGAGCGACTGAGGGGAGGAAAAAGGAATCCGCATTTTAAACAGGCACTGGTTAGTTCTGTGACCATTGCTCCCTGGAGATACTTTGAGTAAATGATCTGGAGAAAAGAACCAAATCAAAATTAGCATATCACATAGATCCAGAAGAAGAAATAAAAATTATCTAAACACAGGAAAAACAAAATAATGTTTCAAAGTAAAAATAAATGAGGAAGATGTTGAGGAAAGAGGAGATAATTTTTATTTAAATTCCTTTGAACTTTAGCCCAATAAAATAAAAATGTAACTGTGTTGTATTTGTGCATAAATTTAAATAAATGTAAGTTTTTCCAGAGAAACATTTAGCTATAGATGTTATAGCTACTTCAACTTTTGGAAGAAACAGATTCTTGTAGGTGACAATTTGCACAATATAGGCAAAATTAGGTATGGTTAAATAAGTTAACTCTCTTAGGGACTTCAATGAGATGTGGTGCATTCTTTTTTTTAAAATATATTTTATTAATTATGTCATTACAGTTCTATTTCCCCCCTTCATTCCCCTCCACTCTGCACACTCCCTCCCCCACCATCACCCCCCTTAGTTTATGTCCATGTGTCTGAAGTTCTTTAGATTCTATATTTCCCATACTATTCTTGCCCTCCCCCTATCTATTTCTACCTACCATCTATGCTACTTATTCTCTGTACCTTCTCCCCCCTTCTCCTTCTCCCACTCCCCTGTTGCTAACCCTCCATGTGATCTTCATTTCTATGGTTCTGCTCCTGATCTAGCTGTCCTCTTAGTTTGCTATTGTTTTAGGTGTGGTTGTTAATAACTGTGAGTTTGCTGTCCTTTCACTGTTCATCTTTTTTATCTTCTTTTTCTTAGATAAGTCCCTTTAACATTTCATATAATAAGGGCTTGGTGATGATGAACTCCTTGAATTTGATCTTATCTGAGAAGCACTTTATCTGCCCTTCCATTCTAAGTGAAAGCTTTGCTGGATAGATCAATCTTGGATGTAGGTCCTTGCCTTTCATGACTTGGAATACCTCTTTCCAGCCCCTTCTTGCCTGTAAGGTCTCTTTTGAGAAATCTGCTGACAGTCTGATGGGGACTCCTTTGTAAGTGACTGTCCCCTTATCTCTTGCTGCTTCTAGGATTCTCCTTCATTTTAATCTTGGCTAATGTAATGATGATGTGCCTTAGTGTGTTCCTTCTTGGGTCCAACTTCTTTGGGACTTTTTTTTTTTTTTAGATTTATTTTCAGAGAGAGGGGAAGGGGAGAGAGAAAAACATCAATGTGTGGTTGCCTCTCACATGCCCTCTGCTGGGGACTTGGCCCGTAACCCAGGCTTGTGCCCTGACGGGGAATCAAACTGACGACCCTTTGGTTTGTAGGCCCACACTCAATCCACTGAGCTACACCAGCCAGGGCAGATATGGTACTTCTTTAATAAAAAACATGTTTGCAGGAAGCCTGATAAAGCTTTTATCATGTTGACCTGTCAGGCACATTTTGGCACAAAATAAGTGTTTCTTGTTGAGTGAAATAGGCATGTGTAAGCAGTCGCTAGGGCTCAACTCCTTCTACTAAGGTTAACATGTTCATTGGATCAAAAGCTACGACTGTTTCATGGAAAGCATACTACAGTAAAATAAAACTCATCTAACTGAATGAATATGTTGGAAGTGTTTGTTATTGTCTTGTTTCAACTGCTTTGATAAAGGAAAAGCTCAGGGACTCTGACAATACGTGTGTGTGTGTGGTATTTTTAGTAACTTTCAGAGTGATGAAGTAAATTCTCCACAGCAGTTAATTTGGTGTAGTTTTCTTTTTTTTTTTCCTCACCAGAGGCACTGCTGCTATGATTATTGTTCCTTTGTTTGGTATACTTGGAAGTTTAGGTAATTCACCTTGGCATTTGAAACTCCAAAGAAAAATCATTTAAAAGTTATATATTAAGCTTTCGAAATATCTCATGGTTTCTATTTCATCTATATCAATTAGATTTGAGAAACTAAGCCTTTGTGATCAAAGGCTGAGCAAAACAGAATGGAGATTCAACAGAGTTAAAACAGATAACCAAAGGAATGAAGTTTGCAATCTTGGTGACATCCAGTTAGCTAGATGGTTACTCTGTTTACTTAACCTTGGAACATGAACTTGAGTGGGAGAAGAAAATACACCATTATTTTCATGAATCTCTAATGAAATTTAGTATGTCAATTTTAATATAAGCAACCAACCACAGTAACACTAACAATTGTGACTATGTCCCCATAGGAAATTACAGATCTTAATAATTGTTGTAGATACCTCGAATTATTGTCAATGCCCATCTCTATTTCAAAATTAACATAATTATAAATTTACTTGTGTTTCTTTTTGGTCTTTCATTTTAGGAAGTAAGAAGGTTCTTCAGGTAATTGCTTGAAAAATTAAAGTATTATTTAGTAGTAAAATTTTAATTTATTTTAATGACCCAATTAAGTAGTTTCTCTAGTTTTTTATCTTCATTTTAGTGACTCCAGATGTGTGTCTTCCCAGGGTATGTAGCCCTCTGTATTGGAGGAAACTAGACTAAGGCACCTAAAGTTTGTGAAGGGTGCCTGTTCTCTTTGCACACTAAAGCTTTTAGTAATTTTTAAATTTACAAGTAAAATAAGCAACTTTAAAAGCAAAATAAAATGCAGCTTTTTAAGTGGCTAATCTTAATACTTTTAAAATCTAAATGACATTGAGTTTATAAAGATATCAGTTATTTTTATTAATTCTCAATTGTTTTATTTAGTGGTATAAGATTACCCTTTTTTTGTAATTACATTTTGCCACCTGGTTTATATGTAACAAAATGTTTAGCAACCTTTTTATATAGTCGCTGGATAAATAAGATTCTATAATTCTTCCAAGAAAAGTGAATGATATACCAATGGTTCACAAATAATCCATTAGTTATTCATATATATTTTAAATCTTCAAAGACAGGATCAGTTTTCAAAACTATCAGTGATGACTTATATTTGATATTATAGTAACTAGCAACAGTTAAATTGTAATAAATGATCTGAAACATGACCAGCTCTTAATTTTCTTACCTTCTTTAAATGACTTACTATATTTTTGTAACTTTTATCTCTCTGGAAGGTAGATGTGGCCTGATTATTTTAAAGGAATATGGGACATTGTGTATTTATCAGGGGTCTGTTTTATTTTCATCAGGTTCCTCTTTTAAGGCATCAAAACCCAAATCACTTGCATAATAGTAATGAAGACTCTTTCAGGGTTTGGAAGAATGTTTGCTGTTCTAAGTGTGTCCGATGTTTAAGGTGAGTGTCACCTCTCGGAAGGCCGACATCTGTCTGTAAAATGTTATTCTAACAACTGCAGAGCATGTTTCACATCACTGCCCTCCCATGGATCTGCTGCTACTTGTAAATCCAGAAGTGAAAAAAATAGATGTAAGTTAGATTAACAGCTTTGGTTTCTCAATTTAATTGAATCTACTCCAATTAATTTATTTCTCATTACCCTTACAGCAACATAATCAGGCTTCATACAATATAAATTTAACTTGTATAAAATCCAGAGCTTTAGAGAAACACATTGTTCAGAGTATACATTTTGAAAATATAATGTGTGAGAATCAAAGACTGCTGTCACAGATTGTTGTCAAATACTAGGTACTTTTCCACCAGAATTCTTCCTGTGTTGACTTTGCTGCAGCGGAATCCACGAGGCCTGTTTTGTCTTGCGTCACATCAGAACAATGTGCCTCACGTTTTCTTCTTTTTAATGGAAAAGACTCTGAGGGTGTCTCTTCTTTCTGAGTAAAGATGACTGTAGGTAAAATACATACCTAACGCAAGAAGGAAATGGTAAAAGTAAGAAAGACTGATTAGCCACTCCTTCGGAAAGTTTTAAAATGCAGTTAGAGCACTGCCTGGAGTCCAGGGCGAGACCTTTGCAGGGCAGATTTGAAGAAGGGATGCTTAAAAAGTGTCCAGATTTTCTGCGGAAGGAAAGTAAAACAAACTTCCTATCTCACTATTTTGTTCATTGCAAAGAATTTTTCTCTCCCTAATGTTTCACCGTTGTCTTCTCTTTTACATGTTGTTCTTACATATATGATAGTTGTTACCTTCTAGAAATACTTATTATCTGGAGGATGAGTGATGGTTAGAGCTAAGGAAGCTAAAATTTTGTAATGGAAGACTTTTTCCCAATTTTCTGAAAAAATTTATCAAATTTTTCAACTGTATTTTTTGTTGCATGCATTTTTCTTAAGTCTTTAGCACCTTCTCCCACTTGCCTACTAGGAAATGCTAGCACATAAAGACCAAACAAACAGAAAAGCAAATAGAAATAAATGGAAAAATCAGAAATAGACAAGGGTGCTCAATTTGACATCTAGATTTTTTTTTGTAGATACCTGCATCTGTGGTCAAAACTTCTATATTTCATACATAGCAGTTAGGTTTTCCACTAATAAATCTGTTCTGGTTCATCTCTTACTCATTTGATCTTGTGATATATTGAAAAAAAGTATTATAAGTCTGAGGTGCTTTACTACCAAGATCTAATTTGTTGTTTCAGGCTTCCTTTTTGTTCTTTCCCATATTTGTACACCTCTTTGTTAAGGTAGACAGCAGTACAAACCAAAACAGGAGGAATGCAAAAACAAAATAGAAAAGACACTTACCTATAAAGAGCATGATGAGATATATTTTCAGCACATATGGGAAATAGATGGATAAGTCAAAGGGCAACTTTGTGGAGTAAGTGCCAAATGATTCAAAATACGGCAGAGACTGATAGATGGCAAACGCTGTTTAAAGAAAGAAGAAAAGATCATGGAGGTGTCTCTGCTTCCCTTGCAGAGATGTATGTCTTCAAAGGATATTTTGAATCAGATAATGACAGCTTTATGACAGTTGTTGAATTCTTTCAGCAATAGATGGACAGATTTAGAAAATGCTGCATATATTCTCCCCTTGGAGTTTCACAACACTCATTAGTATAGTAGAGATTCTGAAAAGTTCTGCAATAAAGTAACTGGTTTCAGAAGTGAGTCCAAGATGGCCACGTAGGAAGACACTGAGTTCACCCTCTCCAAAGAACACGTCGAATGTACACCAACATTTAGAACAGTTCCTCCTGCAAGATAGCTGAAAGCCAGCTGCACATAGAGAGGGTTGGGGAACAGCGAGAGCTGTCCTGAAGCTGGGGGAACTCTCCAGGACTGGAGGAATCTGTTTCCCTTGCCCTTGGATAGTAGGTGGGGAGCTCTAGCCAGTGTCTCTGGCCAACCTGTTGGGCTGCTGTAGCAGGTCCCTAGCCACAGCTCTGGATCTAGTTCCAGCAAGAACAGAAGGCTGCCATAGTGTGCATGCACAGGGCCCCTCCCCTCCAGAAGTTAATGTAGCAAATATTGAAGGGCACTGCTGAATGCACCCACCGGACTATATGTGCAGGTGGGGCTGCCCACCAGGAGCAAGCGCCCCACTGGTAGGGCACTTCAGCACTAGCACATATGGTTTCCCTACCAGAATGGGAAGAAGGAGTGCTTTCAAAATCATTCTACAACACCAGCAGTACTGATACTCAGCAGAAGATATGCAGAAAATTCTCAACAATATATATTAGCAAACCAAATCCAATAATTAAAAAGATTACACACCATGATCGAGTGGGGTTTATACCAGGAATAAAAGGTTCAATATCACAATACAATGTGATACGTCATATCAACAAAATCAAGGATAAAGATTATATAACTCAGTAGATGCAGAAAATACATTTGACAAAAATCCAACATTAATTTATGAAAAAATTCTCAAAAAAGTGGGTACAAGAAGTAACCTACCTCAAAATAAGAAAGACTATACATGACAGGCCAGAGCTAACATCATAAACAACAGTGAAAAGCTGAAAGCTTTTCCTGTGACATCAAAAACAAGACAAGGATGCCCACCGTCACCACTGTTTTCAATATAGTACTGAAAGTCCTAGTCATAGCAATCTGACAAAAAGCAAAGGCATCCAAACTGGAAAAGAGGAAGTAAAACTGTCACTATTTGCAGATGACATGATTATATATATATGTGTGTGTGTGTGTGTGTGTGTAAATATACATGTGTGTGTACATATATATATGTACACACACACCCTAAAGAATTCACTAAAAAATTAATAGAATAAATGAACAGTAAAGTATTAGGATATAAAATTAACATACAGAAATTTGTCATGTTTCTATAGACTAATATCAAAAGGAGAAATTAATAATCCCACTTACTAGTGATATCCAACATAACTACTTATAAGGGAAATGCAAATCAAAATCACAGTGAGATACCGCCTCATACCTAGTGAAACAGCTGTTATCAATAAGTATTAGAGTGGAGGTGGAGAAAAAGAAAATTCATGCACTCCTTGTGGGAATGTAAGTTGGTGCAGCCACTATGGAAAACAGTATGACAGTCTCTCGGAAAATTAAGATGGGGCTACCATATCACACAAGGATCCCTCTTTTAGGACTCTACTCAAGTTTTTTTAAAACAAATGTAATGATATATGTACACCCCTCTGTTCACTGCAGCATTTATTCCCAATAGTCAAAACAGGGAAACGACCTAAGTGTCCTTTGCTGGATAACTAGATAAGATACAGTACATTTATATAACAGTACATTTATTCATCCATAAAAAGTAAAATACTGACATTTGTGACAATGATGGAGCTTGAGGATATTGTGCTAAGTGAAACATCACATGCAAAATTACAAGAAATATGATTTACTCATTTGTAAATTGTAGGATGTAAAACATCTCATTTGTAGGATGTAAAACAAAAAGCAACAAACAAAAAAGCCATACTCATAGATACAGACAACAGAATGGTAGTTACCACAGGTGATGGGGTGGTGATATGACAAAGGGTAAAGGGGACCAAACGTGGTGATGGAAGGAGGCTAGACTTTGGGGGGTGAGCATGCAATAGAGTACACAAAATTGTACACCCAAAATTTATATAATGTCATTAACCAGTGTTAACCCCAATTAATTTTTAAAAAACATAGTGTCCGTGAAAATGAGACAGAGAAACTTGTCCAAAATGAAATAACAGGAAAAACTCCAGCAAAAGAACTAAGTAAAACAGAGACAAGCAATCTACCAAATAGAATTTCAACAAATAGAAATATTTTTTAAAGTACCTATTAGAATTGAATATATTAACTAAAATGAAAACTATACTAGAGCAAATAAACATCAAATTAGATGAACCAGAGGACTAAATCAGCTATCTGGCTGACAAGGTAGTAGAAAACACCCAATCACAAGATTAAAAAGAAAAAAATCTTAATAAAGCAAAGATGTTTAAGGGACCTCTGGGACAACATCGAGCACACCAACATTCATATTATAGGGGTGCCAGAAGGAAAGGGGAGAGAGAAAGGGATTGAAAACCTACTTGAAGAAGTAATGACTGAAAACTTCCCTAACCTGGCAAAGGAATAGGCATCCAAGTCCAAGAAGCACAAATGTCCCAAACAAAATGATCCCAGAGCAGCCCACAGCAAGGTACATCATGATTAAAATGCCAAAGGTTAAGCACAAAGAGAATAAAAAATATCAAGAGAAATGCAACTAGTTACATAAAGGAAGCTCCCATAGGAAAACAACAGGTTTTTCAACAAAATTTTCAGGCCAGAAGAAAATGGCATTAAATATTCAAAGTGAGGCAAGGGGGAAAATTTACAACCAAGATTACTCTACCCAACAAGGTTCCAATTTAGAATTGAATAAGACTTCCCAGATAAGCAAAAGCTAAAGGAGTTCATCACCACTAAACCAGCATTACAAGAAATGTTAACAGGACATTTTTAAGTATAAAAGGAAAGGCCAAAACTAAAAATAAGAAAATGTGGGAAATGAAAAATCTCCAAGGCAAATACTTACTAAAGGTAGGAAATCAATTATAAAGCTAAAATGAAGATTAAAGGCAAAAGTGGGAAAATTATGTAGAAATACAATAATTAAGGGATATATACAAATACACATAAAATAGGTAAAAAGTGACAAAAATATAGGAAGTACAAAATATTATTTTAGAATATATTCTGAAAGCAGCTATCAACTTAAAACAGACTGCTATAAACATACCCTGTTATATACGAAGTACATGTTAACTGTAAAGCAATAATCTATGAGATACACAAAAGAAACTCAAACACAACAAAACACTACAGAGAGTCATTAATGTGTAAGAGAAAAGAGCAGGAGAAGAAAGAAGGAACAAAGACTCACAAAAACAGTCAGAAAAGGTAATAAAATTACAGTAACTGCATACCTATCAATAGTTACTTTAAATTGACTAAACTCTCCAATCAAAAAACATTGGGCTGGCTGAATAGATAATAAGACCTGCATATTTTTGGCCTATAGCTTAGATCAATAGACATAAAGAGACAAAGTGAAAAAATGTAAAAAGCTATTTTATGCAAATGGAAAATAAAAAAAGACAAAGGCTATAATGAGGGACAAAGAAGAACACTTTATAATGATAAAGGATTCAATCCAACAAGAAAACATAACTTGTGAGCATCTACACACCCAATGTAGGTGCACCTAAATATATAATGCAAATGTTGACAGACTTACAGGAGAGATGGATAGTTTAGTACAATAATAGTAGGGGGTCATTAACACCCCACTTACATCAATGAGGTATCTTGTCATCCAACAGACAATGAGTAAAGTGACCTGAAGACATTAGAACAGATGAACTTTAGATATTTATAGAACATTCCATTCAAAAACAATAGAATATACATTATTTTCAAGTACAGCAGAACATTTTCCAGGATAGATCACATTAGGCCACAAAGTAAGTGTCAATAAATGTAAGAATTTGAAATCTCATCAAGTGTCTTCTCTGACCAAAAGAGTATAAAATTAGAAATCAATTACAAGCCCTGTCCAGGTAGACCAGTTGGTTAGAACTTCATCCCAATACACCAAGTTTCAGGTCTGATTTCTGGTCCAGGCACATACAACAAGCAAGCAATGAATGCATAAATAGTTGGAACAACAAATTGATGTTTTTCTCTCTACATATCTCTCTCCCCCTTTCTCTCTAAAAATCAATAATTAGAAATCAATTACAAGAAGAAAATACAAAAAAACCCCACAAACACATGGAGTCTAAACTCCATGCTACTAAATAAGGAATGAGTTAATAATGAGATCAGCTAGGAAATAAAGATAGCTTGAAACAGCTGAGAATGCAAACACAATGACCCAAGAGCTATGGGACACGGCAAAAGCAGCTCTAAGAGAACTTCACATTCCTGCCTAAAGAAACAAGAGAAACCCCAAAGGAGTAGAAGGAAGTAACAAAAATCAGAGGGGAAATAAATGAGTGACTACAAAAATGAAAGAAAAGATCAATGAGACCAAGAGCTAGTTCATTGAAAAGATAAAATTGATAAACCTTTCACCAAAATCAAAACGAGAGAGAGAGATGGCCCAAATAAAATCGGGAATGGAAGAGAAATGACAAGAGGAACCACAGAAATACAAAGGCTTGTAAGAAAGTTCTAAAAGCAGTTACATGCTGGTACATTGAACAATCTAGAAGAAATGGATAAATTCCTAGGAACATACAATCTTAAGACTTGAATCAGGAAGAAATAGGAAATGTGAATAGACCAATTACTAATAAAAAACTAAATCATTAATAAAAACAAAAGTTCTGGACAAGATGGCTTCGCAGGTAATTCTACAAATAGTTGATAATTAATGCCTACCCTCAAATTTCAAAAAA